CCTACCAGAAGGCAAAGGGAGTGCTACTGCTCCCTAGCTTCCTTCCTTGTGTTCTCTCTCCAGGTCAAGTGGTGGATGTGGAGCAGGGGATTGTTTGTGACAATATCCCCATCATCACACCCACAGGAGAGGTGGTGGTGGCCAGCCTCAACATCAAGGTAGGTTGAGTGGGCTGGGCTGGGCTGGGCTGGGCTGGGCTGGGCTGAGCCATGGGGCCTGAGGCCTGGCCTTCTGTATCTGCAAGCCTCAGCCCTTGGCATCCAGCCTAGCTGGCCTGCCTGTGTTGTCAGCAGCCATTGTCCCAAGATCTACGTGGCAGGTGTGCAAAGGTCAAGGTGAAAGACCAACGTGTCTCTGCCTGTTAGTTGTGGGGCAATGGAGACAGAACTGATTTAAAAAAGAGAGAGAGAGACTTGAGATTACCAGGATTGGCCAAGAGTCACCTGAAGGTTCACCTTATCGTTGCCAACCCCGCCCCTACCCCATCCTAGTCCCACAGAAGCCCAGAACTTAGGGACTCTGGTTCAACTCCTACTGTGGTGGAAGAGATTGTCCTCCGATGACCTGGGCTTGGGGTCCCACCCATCTGCTTCAAGAAGCTGCCAGTGCAGGTGTGTATGCTGAGTGCAGCATGGCCCTCCAGGAGGGCTCTCAGCCACTCCACAGGCCATCTGTGGAAAGGAAGCCCTGGTGGCTGACATCCACCTGGTTGGGGAATGATGGAGCAAAAGAGAAATCTATGGGGGGAGGGTGCATGGAAAGAAGTGAAAGGGAGTCATTTGTTCATTTATTTATTTATTCATTCAAACAGCATTTTCTGAGTTCCAGGCTGGGCACTGGAAACCAGAAGTAAATCAGGGAGGCCCCTGCCCTCTGGGAGGCCCCATTCTGGGGGACCCTAAAATGTTACAAAGGTCCGCAGTGAGCTGCCCAGAGTCCAGCAGGGGTCATAAGAAGTGTGGTCACCATCCCTGGTGGGAACAGAGGTTAGATGAAACTTCATCCAGAAGCTTCCAGGTGGGTGGACAGCGTGCTGAAGAAGGCCCCTCCAAGAGAGCAGGCAGAGAAAAGACAGTGGAATGGTGGGAGGAGTGAGAAACCGGTTCAACAGGAGCCATGGTTGGGTAGGGAGTAAGTGCAAAAGGTGAGTGGAGAGGCAGTGCCTGGGTCTTCTTTCCTTGATCTGCTGAGAAGGGCCCTGATAGCCAGTTGGAGGCTGGGAACATGTCATTACCTCAAGCAGCATAGGACAGTGGTGTGGTCCCCATCGCCCCCAGCAGTGATCACTCTTAAGGATGTAGGGGAAGCTGCTGATAGCTGGTTTATCCAAGGTGAATGATTTCCAGGCAGGCCTAGTAGAAGCCCAATTAGGCAAAGACCAAAAGCCCTAGTGAGCCGGGCCTCAGCTGGGTAGGAAGCAAGACCAGGCAAGGAGTGGGTGACTGGGGTGGAAGAGCAGGGGCTGGGGGCTGAGCTAGAGCTCTGGCCTGGTGGAGCTGGTGGTAGAGCTGGGCTCTGGGTCTGGGAGATGTTGGAGAAGGGGAGCAGTTCCCAGCCATGATAGGCCAGTTACTGCGGTAAGGACAGCTGGAGAGACGCAGGGAAGGAGAGGAGGGAGGGAGCTATGGCACCAGCTGAGGGCCGAAGCAGCTCTCCCACAGTCTGGCACCGGAAGAGCCCTCACACATCTGAAAGGAGGAAGGCTCAGGCTCCACCAAGGGAGTTTATAGTCTTAATAAAGGCCACAAATTGAGGGGCTCAAACAATGGAAGTGGAGCTTCTCCCAGTTTTTGAGGCTAGAAGTCCACACCAGGGTGTCTCCTGAGAGCAGTGAGGGATAATCCGTTCCAGGCTATCCCAGCTTCTGGTGGTTGCTGGCCATCACTGGTGTTCCTTGGTTTCACTTTAATCTCAGCCTCCATCTTCACATGGTGTTCTCCCTGTGTTCATGGCTGTGTCCAAATGTCCCCATTTTATAAATAAGGACACCAGTCACATTGGATTAGGAGTCATCACACTCCAGGATGACCTCATCTAAATTGAACTAATTACATCTGCAAAGGCTATTTCCAAATAAGGTCACATTCTGAGGTCCTGGGGTTTAGGACTCCAATACCTGAATTTGAGAGGACACAGTTCAACCCCTAACACTGACTGAGGTAAGCCAGGGAAGGACTCACATGGGCTACACTCTCAGATCTTCTGAGGACTTCAGAGGCTGGTAGGTGGCCTGAGGACAGCAGTCTCCCTCCCTATGACCCCTTCCTTCCCACACACCCCCCACCCCCTAGCTTGACTGGTCTTTTTTCATTAGCCAGTGGACATCATGTGATTGGCCAATTGGGGAGCCTGAGGCCCTTGACACTGAGCCTGGGGGTTACAGCAGCATCTCTGTGGCTCCCTACTATCCATGAGGGCAGTGAGAGGGCTTTGGGGGACAGCTGGAGTTTACTGTCCACCTAGAACTCTAAAGAAAGCACCTTTCCCAGAGCAGTTCCCAGAGGGAAAGCAGTTCTGCTGGGGAGGCCAAAACACTTGGATTCCCAGTGAAGTGAGATGGAGAGTGATGTTGACTTTCTGGGGCTTGCACCCATTCATATGGCTATAGCAGAATAGGCCCTCCTCCTGCTGGCCCCATACTCTCTGGTGTGTGTTGGGGCCTTAAGAGACAAGTTGGGGCCCAAAACAGGTATTTGGTTAGGGCTCTGGATGCTGGACCTTATTGTCCAAGCCCTTCCATCCCTTACCAAGAGACCAGGAGGGCCTACCCACTGGCCCCTGGCATGCACCTGGGTGCAAGTAGCTGTCAGAGGCTGTCAGGGAGGCTGCAGGTGAGAGGAAGGAAGCCCTTGCCCCCCTGGGTACCACATGGTGCTGCCTCCACAGGTGGAAGATGGCATGCACCTGCTCATCACGGGCCCCAATGGCTGTGGCAAGAGTTCTCTGTTCCGGATCCTTGGCGGGCTCTGGCCCACATATGGTGGTGTGCTCTACAAGCCCCCACCCCAGCGCATGTTCTACATCCCTCAGAGGTGAGCGGTGCAGGGGAGAGGAAGGGAGCCAGAGTCCCCAGCTCTGCCCCTTGCCCCTTCCGACCTGTGGAACCTGACACCTAGGAAATGGCAGAACTTGGGGCCTTGGGAGAGGACAGCAAGATGCTGCTCCAGAATCAGAGGGGCTATGGAGCCTCCAGTTGCCCCCTCCCAACCCCCCTCACCTGGTGACTTTACAGCTGTGTGGTGTGCATGTATGAGGGTGCACACTGGGGGGGTGGGGTCATGTGTCTGTGTGCATATAGTGTGTGTGTGCATGTGAGCATGTGCATGTGTGTGCTGTGTCTATGCGTGCATGCATGCATGCCTATGTGTGCAGGGTGAGTGTGTGGTGTACACATGCGACTGTGTGGGCCTGGTGTGCATAGGTGGATGTGAGCACTGCCTGGAGCACTTTATAGCAGGGATCTGTGGGCTTCGAGTTCACCACACCTCTGGCATCCAGGGGTCATGGTGGAGCCTGAACAGACACGGCATGGGCAAGGCCAGCCCTTCCCTTGGTGGACATGTAGCTTTCCCATAGGCCCTACATGTCTGTCGGCTCCTTGCGCGACCAGGTGATCTACCCTGACTCAGTGGAGGACATGCGAAGGAAGGGCTATTCAGAGCAGCACCTGGAAGCCATTCTGGACATCGTGCACCTGAACCACATTCTGCAGCGGGAAGGAGGTAGGGGATGGGACATCTCTCTTCTCAGCACCAGGGAGTGAGCCATCCATCCAGTAACCTGCTACCACCCCAGCTCTGCCTCCCTCTTGGCCCCCAACATCCAGGAGGCCAATGTGCTAGGTGCCCCTGAGAGCCCCTCCTAATAGGGAGGACTGACAGGAAGCAGATGGCTCAGGCAGCCTGAGTATGCTAGGGAAGGGAGGCCAGGTTAGCAGGTAGGGGCCATCCAGGGGGCTGCTCACCATCAGGTGAGATGCTCACAACAGGCCCTGGGGCTGGAGGAGTGAGGGTAGTGGGGGGGGAGGCTGAGAAGGAAGGAAGCCCTTGGAAGGCTTTAGGCAGGGAAATTACAGGTCAGTTCCGAATTTCAGCAAGAGGACTGACCTCAGGCATGGCGGCTTGAGTAGGGCAGCTGGGGGGAGGAGTGAGGAGCAAGCACAGGCTGTCTGCACAGAGGGCCTGGAGGTTGAGAGGCAGGAGCAGAGGTGTAGGGGACACCCCTGGTTTCTGCCTTGAGCCTAAGAGGCACGGTGTCCTGGGGAGAGGAGGGAGGGACAGGCTAGTGGCAAGAAAAGGCAGTGGTCAGGGGCCTACTTCGTTTGTCTGGGAATGCCTGTAGGGCCCAGAGGTGAGGAGGAGAGGGCAGAACCCAGGGCGGGGCTGAGCTGATATTCTTAGTGAAATCTGAGCAGCAGGGTTCCTCTTCCTGCCTCGGGCCACTTAGGGGCAGCTTGACCTTGAGCAAACACCTCACCTCTTGAGCCTCTGTCCACTTGTAGAGGGGGACAGGTACTAGTTCCTCCCTCAGCACCAGCATTAAATGAAGTTACTCCTGCAGACTCTTCCCAGGTGTGGTGGCCTGCATAGGAAGAGGGCTGCAGGTGGTGGAGTACTGGTTGCCACAGTCATGCTGAAGCTTCATCCCCAGCTTCCTCCTGGCCTGGCCTGACCTCTTTTGCTCCAGCCACCCTCTGCCTGGAAGTGCACCCCTCCTGTCCTCCAGGCACTCCTGAGTGCCTGGGGCCCCTGAGGCTGACCATCACAACCTATTAACATTGAGTTCAGCTGTGAATAAACAGGACCCCCCCCCCACGGTGGCTCAGATAGCTCACAAGTTTATCTTACTGTGACATAAAAGTCCTGAGGAAGGAAGGCCATAGTTGGTTGGGGTGGCCCTGCTCTGTGCAGCCTCCATTCCCAAAGTCACCCCATGGTCCAAGATGGCTGTTCCGGCCATCACATAATATCCCAAGCCATAGGATGGTGGAAGTGGAGGGAAATGTATATGCCATCTGTCTTTTAAAGAAAGTTCCAGAAGCTGCCACACTGTAACACTTAAACCCCATTGGCTAGAATTCAGTCACATAGTCATATACTTCAAGACAAGCTAGGGAGTATAGCGTTTTTTTGAGGGTACCATGCGCACTACCAAAAATTCTAGTCCTGTGGGAAGGCAGAGTGGCAGGAGGTAAGGAGCCATTTCTGGTGAATCATCTACACATCTGCTCATTCAAGCAGCTGCCTGAGCCTTACAGAGGGTCTGGCATGAGTCAGTGATACAAAAGCCTGGTGCCTACAGGTGAGAAGCCTTCTGGAGAGACCGCTCCAGCTTTCCTGGGGCTGACTCTTCATTGGTACCCTGTTAGGTCCCTTATGAGTTTTCTGTAACAAAGTACCACAGACTGAGCAGTTTAAACAGAAATATATTAGCCTCCAGCTCTGGAAGCCAGAAGTCTAAGATCAATGTGTAGATAGGGTTGGCTCCTTCTGTTCTAGGCCCCTCTCTTTGGCTTGCAGACAACCATCTTCTCCCTCTGTCTCTTCACATCATCTTTCCTCTATGTATATTTCTGTGTCCAAATCTCCCCTTTTTATAAGGCTACCCATTATACTGGATCAGGGCCCACCCTAGTGACCTCACTTTAACTTGATCACCTCTATGAAGACCTTTTCTCCAAATATAGTCATCTGAGATCCTGAGAGTTAGGATTCCCACATATCTTCTTTTGGAGGAGATATAATTCTAGTCTCAACTTCGTTTTTACTATTAAAGTATCACCTACAGACAGACAAATGCCCAGAGCACACATAGCCAGCAGTTGACCTTCTCCGGAGTCAAATGTGCTGTCATCTTCCACTGTCACTTGTTCCCCAGCCCCCTCCCACTACACCCAGTGTGCCTGGGCCCTTGTTGAATTGAACAGAGCCCCCTTGTCCCCTGCCTAGGTTGGGAGGCCATGTGTGACTGGAAGGACGTTCTGTCAGGGGGTGAGAAGCAGAGGATCGGCATGGCCCGCATGTTCTACCACAAGTGAGTGGGTTGTCCAGGGTGGTAGGGCTCCCTCAGGCACTGACTGCTCTCCAAGCCAACGGCAGCTCAGCATGCATGCTCCCTGGGGCCTCCTTAGGGAGAAGGCAGTACCATTAGAAGGCCCTATCCAGGCCTCAGCAAGGATTGGGCCACATGGGGCGAGGGACTAGGATCAACAGCAGTGGAGGGTCCACAGCCTCGTCCACTCTGCTCCTACTCTCAAGGCCCAAGTATGCCCTCCTGGATGAATGTACCAGTGCCATAAGCATCGACGTGGAAGGCAAGATCTTCCAAGCAGCCAAGGATGCAGGCATCTCTCTGCTTTCCATCACCCACCGGCCCTCCCTGTGGTAGGTGCCCTCTCTTCCTCCCTGGAGTCAAGGGGAAGGAGCGCCCTTCCATCATTCTACACCCCCTTGGCTTTGCAGCCTGGGAGGAGATGGTGCTGCCATCAGAGGGGCAGAGGACTCTGGTAGGCCCTGCATGCGTCTCCTGCTGAGCAGCCTCTGCATCTCTGACCCTGTCCCTCTCCTGGTCCAGGAAGTACCACACACACTTACTACAGTTCGATGGCGAGGGCGGCTGGAAGTTCGAGAAGCTGGACTCAGCCGCCCGCCTGAGCTTGACTGAGGAGAAGCAGCGGCTTGAGCAGCAGCTGGCGGGCATTCCCAAGATGCAGCAGCGTCTCCAGGAGCTCTGCCAGATCCTGGGCCAAGGCCCCAGGGTTGTCCAGGGTGCTGCCACCTGACAGAGGATCATGGCTCTGGGCCCTCAGCCCCTGCCCTGCCCCAAGCCCTCGGATCATATGAAGGAAACAGCAATGCCTGCCTATCCACTCCCCCACCACCCAGCCCCACCATAGGCCCGCTCCGCATGACTTTCCCTCCTCCTAGACCTCCCTG